ATATATATATATATATATATATATATATATATATTACAGGTATTACAATCCTTTGTGGGACATTTGGTCCCCATAACATAGGGAATACCAGTACACACACACACACACAGGTTGGTGGATAAATTTTTTTTTTTTGGTGGATTCATTTTTTTTGGCCCCTTGAAAGTTTGCTGAGGCTCTCCAGTGGGCCCCGGCCCCCTGATTGAGAGCCACTGACCTAGTGGAGAATACCTTTTCATTTGCTGCAGATGTAATGGATGAGTCAGTTGTCTTATATAACAAAATGACAGCGGTATACAAGAATAATAATAGAAACACTGTATTACAGAGGAACTCTGCAGCTAAATTCCACTACACATGCATACGCATGGTCTGTGCGAAGAGCAGCTTTTCTGAAGGCAAAGGCTGTTCGAATCCCCTTTACATCAGTGATACTAATACAGTTTAGGTGTTACGGTCAGTTTCTTTGCCTGTTGTCTATCTCAGATGGTCGCTTCCCCATGCACACAAAAACGTCATAACAGAGATCATTGTAGTGAAAGTGTTTGAGCAACATTTAATACTTATACTTTCATGTTATTGTCATCCACCATAAGTATACTCATTATTTTATGCAATAGTATTTTCAGTACTTTACCTTTATGAATTATCATAGTCATCAATGTTCATATTCACATTTTCATCTGTATCATTATACAATGAAGTTGAAGGTGACCTTTTATCACTCAAAAGACAGTGGAACTGAGAGGATATCATTCACATTTTCATGCCGTGCTCTTTGATTATCTTATGAATTGTTTCAGTCTTGGCACACACACTCTCTCTCCGATTCCTCTTTCTGTTCCATCTTTATTATTTTGGAAAAGAAATAAAGAGCGATGAATCTAGAAGAAGAATCATTTAACATTGCAGAAATAAAAAACAACCAATAAATTACTCTGTTAAACCCACATCAAGCATTGCTACAGTTACTTCTCTGTGAGAGACAGCTGTAGTATCCTCTCCAGCTCTTCCTCCTCTTCCCTCCTCTTTCTTTAGGGAACAAAAAGAGGAGTGTTATTGGCTGATACAAATAAGGAAACACACAAACATATTCTCTATTGAACTAATGTGATGACACATGGGGTATGTGGAATATTCCTCATATTAAGTCGCTACAGTGAAAATATAATAAAATATAATAACAATAGGTGTTAATGTTTTTGTGACTGAAATAGTTTCTGCAAGTGGAAAAGGGGAGAAAGAAAAGAACAAAACACAACAAATATTTCTCTTGGATGAAAAATGTGTAGTAAATGTGCTTTTCAGTTTGTATATAGCACAACAAAAAAACAAAAATGAAACAAACAAACAAACAAAATTTGGATAAAAATATTGTGCAAAAAATGTGCAGTAAATCTGTTTGTCAGGTTGTATATAGTGCAACAACACAAAACAAAGAAAAAACAATACACAAAATACAAATTTCTCTTGGGTAAAAAATGTGTAGTAAATGTGCATCACAGGTTGTTTACAGCTCAACAAAATGAAACAAGAAATGAAACAAAAAAAGACAAAGAAAAACAAATCTTGGATGAAAATTGTGTAGTAAATGTACTTGTCGAGTTGTATGTAGTGCAACAAAACAAAATAAAACACAATTTTAACTTGGATAAAAAATGTATAGTAAATATGCTTGTCTTGTTGTTTAATAGTGCAACAAAACAAAACAAAAAATAAAACAAAATGTTCATATACATGGATGAAAAATTTATAATAAATGTGCTTGTCAGGTTGTATATAGCAGAAAGAAACAGAACAAAGAAAAACAAAAAAACAAAGAAAATTCTCTTGGATGAAAAATGTGTAGTATATGTGCTTATTGGTTGCAAATAGCGCAAAACAAAGAAAGAAAACAAAACATTTTTTTTTTTTTTGGATACATGCAAAACAGTCTTAGAATTTACCCATAAAGATATTTTGCGGCAGGGGACATTTGCAGCCAGCCGTTTCATACAGGCTACAGGCTTCATACCAGGAGCCAATGATGCCTTAAAATCCTGTCCAGATTTTAGCTCAGTAGGTTTGGGAACATAGCTTATGTTCTTGGATTCTGTCATTTTTTTGCTTCTCCGTCATTCGTACCTGTCTAACTCCTCCTGTTCTCTGCAGGAAAGCTCCATCGCAATGCGTAGCTGTTCATCAAAACTGGTGGCCACAGCAAACGCTCCCGGCGCCCGAGGCTCGGTCAGTGAGCTGTAAGACGGAGGTGAGATGAGGGCCGGATCAGACAGGGATAACGGCTGGCCAGCATCGGACTCGCCACTCTCCTCTCCAGCCAGCGACAAAGACAGAGATTCCTGAATCGCCCTGTCAGAAAAAATTTATAATGTGCTTGTCAGGTTGTATATAGCAGAAAGAAACAGAACAAAGAAAAACAAAAAAACAAAGAAAATTCTCTTGGATGAAAAATGTGTAGTATATGTGCTTATTGGTTGCAAATAGCGCAAAACAAAGAAAGAAAACAAAACTTTTTTTTTTTTTTTGGATACATGCAACACAGTCTTAGAATTTACCCATAAAGATATTTTGCGGCAGTGTACATTTGCAGCCAGCCGTTTCATACAGGCTACAGGCTTCATACCAGGAGCCAATGATGCCTTAAAATCCTGTCCAGATTTTAGCTCAGTAGGTTTGGGAACATAGCTTATGTTCTTGGATTCTGTCATTTTTTTGCTTCTCCGTCATTCGTACCTGTCTAACTCCTCCTGTTCTCTGCAGGAAAGCTCCATCGCAATGCGTAGCTGTTCATCAAAACTGGTGGCCACAGCAAACGCTCCCGGCGCCCGAGGCTCGGTCAGTGAGCTGTAAGACGGAGGTGAGATGAGGGCCGGATCAGACAGGGATAACGGCTGGCCAGCATCGGACTCGCCACTCTCCTCTCCAGCCAGCGACAAAGACAGAGATTCCTGAATCGCCCTGTCAGACACAATCACATTTCAAACAGCTGAACAAATCATATGTACATCCTCACACTCAACACTCAATCCACAAACACACACACACACACACACACACACAAACACACAAACAAACCTCTCAATCTGAGAGTCCTCCTCATAAAGCGGAGGCTGAGAAACTGGACGAGTGTTAGTGAGAGCCTCCCATATGGTCACCTACAGAAACGCACAGGAAAAAAAAGAGAAATGAGGGAGTGGGTGGAAAGCTGTGGAGGGAATGGTGAAAAGTGTCTGCTAATTGTTTAGTATTGACTAGAGCTTCACAATTACTCAAAATAATAATAAAGACTATGATAACTGCTTAATCATGAAAATTACCGCATATACATATATACATATAAATGTATTTAGATCTGGGGCCAGTTGTTTAAACATAGCCATTATGTTAAGACTCACAGGCACTTTCCCCACTGCATTCAAGCAGGCTCGGGTAACCCCACTGCTCAAAAAAACCTACATTACACACTTCACTTACAGATAGCTACAGACCTGTCTCTCTCCTTCCATTCATAGCGAACCTAAATCTTGGTATTACAAGCACTTCCTGTGTCTGTTTGCCTCTTTAAGAAGAATCGCTTTATGTATTCCCCAATTGTAAGTCGCTTTGAATAAAAGTGTCTGCAAAATGACTAAATGTAAATGTAATGTAAGACTGTATCTTAATACGTAGTATGACCAACAAGAAATTTAGATGACTAACTTAGACAAGTCTTAGCCGTTTATGCAACGGTTTTTTGCAGCATTGAGCATTAAAACGATTTTTTAAATTAAATTAAATAAGTACAGTTTTGGTATTTATCCTGAACAGGTTGAATATGTGGTTGCATTCTTGGTTATAGCACAAAAAAAAACAGATGGTGGTTGAATAAATGATTCATAAGTTAATTATATAATGATTTAGTGGTTGGTAAGTTTAGGTGGCTGGTTTATGGTAACAGCTTATTCAGGTTAAAATGACTACTTACACAAACAAAAACTGTCAGAATATCTAAAGTGACTAATGACAGTTTTGTTTTGTCTTTGCATGAAAGTAAAAAAAAAAAAACACAGCCAGATAATTCTAATGTTATATGGACAATTTTTTAAAAATGTCACACCTGTCAAAACAAAACAAAACACAAAAAATAAAATAAAACAAAATAAAACTGGGAACTTTGGATTCTGCAATTGTCATGCCATATATATTTCAATAATCGAATAAATCGCAGGGCAGTATCAGTTTATGAGTGGCTTTACAGAAAACAAACCCGAATATGACTTTGTTCACCAAAAATAACGTCTTGATTATTTCAGTCATAAAGGGGAAAATACAGTTCTTGTAGTAGGAATCTAGTTTACTTGCTAGTCAGTGCCTGAATATAAACTCTGAATATCATTCTTCTAAAGTAAACTCTGAATATCCTCGAAAACTAAAGTAAAAAAAAAAAAAAAATCAAGTGATTCATTCTCTCAAATCATAGAAACCCAGTACCTTGGAAAACAAATATGTTTCCAGGCAGACTGATAAAAACATGCAGCGACTCTCGGAAGTTGTGTACAGCCAGCCAATCAGAACAGAGCTTGCCAGATCGAGAAAGTGCATGGAATATTTTGTGTGTAATATGATCCGTGGATATACCATGTGATAGATGCCGTTACCTGGTCACTCTCTGTTCCCGCATCCAGCAGGCTCTGTTGAATGGCGAACTGGAGTAAATTATCATCCTCATCCCTCATCGGTTCACTGCGGCCTGGTCCAAGTGTGGTGTATTCTGGGGGAGGCTCAAACACAGACGGGTCCACTTCACACTGCAGAGGGGGAGGTGCCTGACCTGAAAGCAGTGAGGTGAGGCTAAATACACGGCACAGTCACAGTCAGGGCAACTTTAGACCTGAAGAGATGCTTACCGGCCTCTGTGGCTCCTTGAGGAGATTGTACAGTAACAGAACTGACCGGTTCATCGCAGCCACAGAGATTGCTGAATGTCACTCGAGCATTCAACACGTGGAAGAGAGGAATTTCTAAGAATCAGGACAATGATTAAAGTCCATTTAAATTGGCATTTACAACAATTTTGGGTATAAAACAGGATATTCCGATATTTCGCCCTCATCTTGTTCCAAACCAGTATGACTTTCTTCTGCTGAACACAAAAGAAGATATTCTGAAAAATGTGGGTAACCAAACAGTTTCAGGCCCCATTGACTTCCACAGTATGGAAGTCAATGGGGCCTGAAACTGTTTGGTTACCAACATTCTTCAAAATATCTTCTTTGTAAGAATAATTTATGAATAATATAATAATATAATATATAAGAAGAATATATAAAGACTGAATGTTATGATGACTGAATGAGAAAGTAAATAGTAAAAGATTTTGATTGCATGTTGACATTAACGTTATACAATTATCTATCAACTCGATGTGGCACTTCTTCTCACCTATCTTTACAGGAAAGCCAGGTGGTAGGCGTAGGGTTATGAAGTCACGCAGCTTGGCAAAGTGGGCGTTCGATATGGCCATGAGGTCAATGATGGGCGTCACCTGCTCAGCCAGCGAGAGTGGATGAGCTTCACTCAGCCACAGTGTGGCCTTAAACCTGAGCGAGACACACAGAGATATAGAGACAAACCACGTTCTTAACGCACATGCAAACACGGTTCAAATCATGGCACTTTGGAGTTGCCATAGAGACGGTACCTCTGCACTTTGCTGGAGAGCTCATTGGGCCGCCCGATATCTCTGCCGTTCAGATTAAACTCTGCATCGAAGTACTCCTCCGCTGTGATGGCTGTTGGGTTATGGGGACTAGCGCACTGAGAAACCTGACTCTAGAAACACAGTAAACATATGAATCCATGTTGTCTCCAATCAGTATCAACAGACTCTTTAAACAACATGTTTTTTAAAGTCTCTTCTGTAGGCTTGCCGCGATAGACGGTGCTGACGGTGATACCGTTGTTAAGCCGCAACACCGGTTACGTCACTTGCCCACCGACCCCCACCGTCGTTTTGATTTTTTTATCGTAATAAAAATAATTTAGTTCAGTAAAAGAACAGACACTACAATTAAAAACTGAACGCGGCTGCTCAATGCAGCGTGCCGAACGACAGTCGCATCACAGATCAGACTTCATTTATCCAGTGAGGAGAGTGAGTCGAGCTGACTGACGAGAAGAGTGAGGTGAGGCGAGACAGACAAGATGATGGCGGATGATTTAGTTTCGAAACGAAATGCAAAAGCGCCTGTTTGGCAATATTTTGGATTTTGAAAAGCCTGTTGACTTTTGCCGTTTATCTAAGGTGATTTTGGAAGTTTTTTTAAACATTCGTTTCTTATTTAATTGGTTCCACATTGTTTGCTGATTTTTACTTTATTTAAACTGTCATTTATTTATTTTATTTGACATGCCGTGCCTCCAAGCTTTCTTACTCGTTTTGCTAATAAACGTTCTACGTTTCTTATTTATTTGGTTATATATTATACATGTTTACTTATTTCCAGTTTTGTATACCTATTAAACTTTATGTAAGTTATTTGTTATTTTATATTAGGCATATAGCTTGCCCTATAACATGGTGTATTTTTATTTGTTTTGTTAATAAAAGTTCTATGTTTTATATATACGCTAAAGTGAGTTTGACGTTGTATTTTGTTGTTGCATTCAAGCAATTGAAGCCAAACTGCCGTTAATTCAAAAGTGAAAGTAAAATGAGCACGGCGCTTTTAACCTATTTAAAAGAGACGGAAAGCGAGGAAAAGAGGGAAAATTCAAACGAACTAAAAACAAACAATTGCTTTACGCCGAATTGCCGCTATTTCAAAGTGAAAGTAAAATGCGCACGCCACTTCTACAAGCAATTTAAAGCGAAGGAAAGCGAGGAAAAGAGGGAAAATTCAAACGAACTAAAAACAAACAATTGCTTTACGCCGAATTGCCGCTATTTGAAAGTGAAAGTAAAATGCGCACGCAGCTTTTACAAGCTATTTAAAAGCGAAGGAAAGCGAGGAAAAGAGGGAACGACCCCGCGGTGATACCGGTGTTGTCACACGTCGATTAACCGGTGGGAAAATGTCCTCACCGTCACAACCCTA